ACTGAGCTGGGCTCTCCCCACAAGCCCAGTGAGGAAGAGGAGGAGGAGGAGGAGGAGGAGGGGGCGAAGAAGGCCAAGAAGAAGAAGGCGTCGCAGGGCAGGAAGAGCCACACCGAGACCTCATCGGAGGAGGCCAGCGCCTCCGAGAGCAGCTCTTCGGGCTCCGACTCAGGCTCTGAGGCAGAGGCCAAGCGGAGGAAGGTGGTGAGGGTCAGGCTGGGCTGGGGGGTAGCGCGGGGATCCCCAGACCCCCCATTCACACCCTCCCCATCTCTCTGCCCCCTTGCAGCCCCCCAGCAGCAGGGCCGGCCCCAAGGAGATCTCCCTGCTCGACCTGGATGACTGTGAGTGGTTGCCCGGGGCATGTGGGATGGCTGTTACGGTGATGCTGGGGAAACTGAGGCACAGGCACCCACCCCAGTGGGTTCAATGTCCCACAGGTCCTTTGGGGACAGGGACCGGTGGGGTGAGCGGTCCTTGTCCCCAGAGGATGGCTGTGGGACAGGTGGCTGTGCCAGCAGGGCTGACCCTGTTGGGGCTGTGGCCCATGGGATTGTCCCCATGCAGGTGTGCCACCAGGGCTGTCCCCATGTGGCTGTCCCCACAGGGCTATGCCACTGAGGCTGTCCCCATGGGGCTGTGGCTCATCAGAGCTCTGTTAACTCTTTCCTCCTCCCACACCCCCACACCCCGCAGTCACCCCCCCTCCTCCCCAGCCCGTCCCCTCCAGCAGCATCGTCTCCACCAGCCTGGTGACGGACCTGGAGGGCCTCACGCTCACCGACACCTCCCTGGCACCCGCCGTAAGTGTCCCCAACATCCTTCCCAAGGGACTCCTGGGACCCCTGCCACCCACGGGGACCACAGGGAGGGGGTCGGCAGCCCACGCCGGTCCCTCGGTCCCTCACAGCTGCTGAGCCCAGCATTCGGTGCGGTGAGGACCTACGAGCTGCTGCACCGCATGGCGGGCGAGGGGCTCTCGGTCGAGTACTGCTTCAGCCGCCGGCCCTTCCCGGGGGACCCCCACATGGTGGCCATCCAGATCCAGATCTCCAACAACACTGATGCCGAGGTGAAGAGCCTGCGGGTCAGTGAGCCCAAGCCGCTCTCCGGCATGCGGATCCAGGAGTTCCCTGAGATCGGTATGGCACGGCACGGCTGCGATGCTGCTGGGAGGACGGGGACAGGGGTTAGCTGGTGGAGGGGACATGGGACACAGTGGCAGCCCTGTGCTTTCAGAGCGCCTGGCACCCGGGGACACGGCCAGCGTGGTGATGGGCATTGACTTCTGTGACTCCACCCAGGCGGCCAACTTCCAGCTGTGGTGAGTGCCGGGCACCGGGCAGGACAGGACGGGTGTCCCAGGGGATGAGGACAGCGTGGGGTACTCCAGGAATGGGGGACAGCGGGGCAGGACACAGGTGCTCCAGGGGATGGGGAAAGTGGGATGGGCACCAACATCCCTCCAGGGGACTTGGGGCAGCAGGGTACAGGTGACAGCCAGACAGGGCATGGGGTACCCCAGGGGACAGGGGACAGCAGGACAGGGTATGGGGTGCCCCAGGGGACAGCAGGACAGGGTATGGGGTGCTCCAGGGCATTGGGGACAGCTGGACAGGCACCAACATCCTTCCAGGGGATGGAAGACAGCAGGAGAAGCTCCAGGAGACAGTGGGACAAGGTCCCTCTGGGGGATAGGAGACAGCAGGATGGGCACCTGGGTCCTTCCAGGGGAGGGGGGACACCGGGATGGGCATGGGGTGGTCAGGGGACAGCAGGACCGGTACCGGGGTCCCCGCAGGGGACAAGGAGGCGGCAGCAGCCCCAAGTCCAGCCTGAGGGGTTCCCCCTATTCCCCCTCAGTTTCCCCCCAGCCGCCCCGTGCTGAAGGCAGGGACAGGAAGCAGGGCCCGGGGGGGGGGCGGGGACGGGACATTTTGAGCATATGCCCCCCTCACCCACCTGTCTCCCCAGCACCCACACGCGCCACTTCTACGTCTCCATCCAGCCGCCCGTGGGGGAGCTCATGGCCCCCGTCTTCATGAGCGAGAACGAGTTCAAGAAGGAGCAGGGTGAGTGGGGGATGGGGACAGGGTGGCGCACAGGCACCCACCGCCCCAGCGCCGATGCTCACCCCCCATTTTGTCCCCTCTGCCGCCCTCGCTGTGGCCCCAGAGCACCTCGCACAGCCAGGCGAGGGTAAGTGGCCACTGGACCGGCCTCTAGACTAGCTCTGCTCCCCTTGTCCCCCTCCTGCACCTCCTGGCCCGTGGGTCAGGGCGACCACCCTGGCGCCAGGGTGGCCTCGCCAGGTCCCCACGCAGCATGGAGGGCTCGTGCAACCCCTGGCGCTCCCAGCATCATGTCTGGTGAGTGACGGGGACACCCTGGCCCCACATCCCTGTGCTCCTGGAGCACCAGCATCCCCGCCCTGGCCCCATGGATGGTGGTCTGCGCTGAGTGGTGGGTGCTCGGTGCCCTGCAGCACCCGACCCCATCGCTGCCGTGACCAGAGGAGCCTGTACCCAGCGACGTGGCCACCAAGCGGGGACACGGGGATGAGCCGGGAAGGGTTGTGGAAGAAGGATTTTCCCAAATCCATCTCTGCTGGGCTGGAGAGGAGCAAGTAGGGCAGCCAGTTTGGGATGTCGTGGGGGACCCAGATGCAGGGAGCTGGCGGCTGGAGGGGCTTGGTTTGGGGATGGCAAAACGGGGCCCGGCAGGGACACGTCTGCTGGGTGCGTGGCCTGAGACAGGCAGGTGTGTCTGCTGCCCACTCCAGGGAAGCTGACGGGAATGAGCGAGATCACAGAGAAGCTGATGCTGCCCGAGAAATGCTGGAGTGACCATGCCATCGTCCAGCAAGTGACTGTGGCCGCCAACGTGGGCCGCGTGCCCTGCGGTGCCGACAACGAGTACAGGTAGCCGGACCCCCACACCAGGACCAGGCAGGCGCTGTCACCTCTCCGGTCCCACCTGAATCACAGCGGGGACACTCAGGGCTTCCTTTAGGACAAGGAGCCTGCATGAACCCACACGTGACGGTGGCCGTAGGTGGCAGATGTCTCCCTGGTCCCCACCGGAGCATCCCGGGGGATGGGAGGGTGACAGGGGGACAGCTCACCCTGAAACCCTGTGTTCGCTGGCGGGCAGGTTCGCAGCCAAGACGGTGACCAGCGGTAGCCTGGTGCTCATCACCCTGGAGCGACGGGAGGGTGCTGTGGCTCAGCTGACCGTCAACAGCGAGAAGATGGTTATTGGCACCATGCTGGTGAAGGACATCGTCCAGGCCCTGGCACAGTGATGGCTGTGCCCCGCTGCACCCACGGCCCTGCCCTCCCACCCACCTCTGCCCCACACCGCTCCCCAAAACGCTCCCTGCCCCGATTTCTGCCAGGTTATTCCCTGGCCCAGTCCCCACAGGGGCGGCAGGCAGCGACCCCCGGGCCAGCTTTGCCACTTGGAGGAAGGAGCAGGACAGGGCAGATGGGACACAGGGCGATGTTCCACTCAGAGGGGCAGCAGCGGCTCCAGCCCCCACAAGAGCACAGTGTGCCTCCAAGCCCCCAGCCCCTCGCCACTGTCTCCCAGTGTAACCCCTATTTATTATGGCCAGGATCTCCCAATAAAGCTCTTCTCGAACCCGCTCCCTTCCCCTCCTCTGCTCTGTGTGCACAGCAGTCAGATCAGCCCCAAACGGCCCCCATGCCAGGCTCTGCCAGCCTCCCCAGGGCAGCAACTGGGGACATCAGGGGACCAGCCATCCCTTAGGCAACTGAGGACATGCAAGTCCCCTGGGGGTGGCACTGCTTGAATTGGGTGGCTGATGGCTCTTGGAGAAAACCCGGCACTGACACACAGGGTCGGGGTAAACACCCCTGGGGCTCGGCGGAGGGCGAAAGGCGTTCGGTCCCGACTGGGGATCTGAGGAGTCCTGGGAGGTTTCCAGCTATTTATTCAAAGCAGAATTGCTCGTGCTTTGACCACAAAAATACCTGCTACGTCAGGGCTGGGTCTATTCTGCAGTGTCACTGGAAGGATTCCTGGGGCCGACTCCGGGAGGCTTTTCATCTCCAAACTGGAAAAAAAAAAAAAAAAGGAAATTTGACTCTTTATCAAGATCTCTCCTCCCAGCAGGGGTTGGGTGGGATTTAAGAGAGCCCCGGCTCTCCCTTTCCAAAGCTGCAGCCCAGCGGGAAGCCAGGCCCAGCACTGGAGGGAGAGGATGAGCAAAGGACACACAGGAAGGCCTGAACGCCAAATCGCCTCGAGTCCGACCCCTTCTGCTGCTGCGAAAAGGGTGAGGGGCTTTCTGCTTTTTCCAGTGCGTGGGTAAGAGACAGGATAAAATCACCTTTGTTTTTTTTTATGGTGACAAAATGCCAGCCAGAGCCGCAGCACCACCAACCGCTGGGCGTCAAGCATTTCCTTCCCGCAGGGAAAAGCCCATTTCCACGACGGGGACCAGAGCTGGAGCGCTCAGCGCTACCTCGCACCCAGGGGGGCTGAAGCCGGGAGCTGGCGGCACCACCACCACCCCAT